ATTCAACATATCTTCAATACATGTATCCTCTTAGATCAAACTTGATGATGCACTTTACGTACTCTGTGAATATTCATTCCATGGTAATTAGTAATTCCTTTGGTTATTGTAAAATAGGTGCTATGCGCATCACGCCACGCCTTCCATTTCTGATTTTTATGTATTTTTTTTGAAAAAGAAATTTTATTTTTTTTTTTTTTGTGGGCTATAGCAATGGATAGTTGGATGTTCAGGTATTATATATATGTATCTTTTATTTTTAGTTATTTTTTTTTTGATTTTGATTATTATATTAATTATTGTAATTTTAATGTTTTTTTTATTTAGGTTTTTTTTTTTTTTTTAGAATCAATTATATAAATCAAAACATTGTTAAGTATCATATAAAAATTACTATTAGAGATTTTTGTGAAGTATACATGTCGAACCTAATTAATTGCTACTATTATTACGATTTTCCTAATAAAAAATTCTAAATCTTTAATGTCTAATTCTTCGGTATATGTTAACATTCAGAAAAAAAAAACTGTAAATGAATAATTTATAACCTAAAAAAATGTTTCCAATTTTAAGAGTAATTCACTTGAAATAAAATCATTGAACATGCTTTATTAAAATATATCTTGGTTTCAACTCAATAAACATTATATTATTTTTGAGGTTTGAATCATAAATATCAACGTTTAATTTCATGAAAATAGAAGTATAAACTTAAATTCTGATTTATTGTATTTAAAAACTAGGGTGTCATGAGGCGTAACTTAAACAATCCACCATTACCACTATCCTCGCTATTAAAATAATGTAAATACTAAATAAAATTAGGAAATTAATAATATTAAGCACGGCCCGCGATCGAACTGGAAAAGTAAAAACTTAAATAATTGCTGCGACCCAAGCGATCCGTCAAACAAAAAAAAAATCTAATAAGATAAAAGCATTAAACCACCGTCAGTAATCTGAAAAGAACCTAAAAATCAAATAATTTATTGCTACATGTCGAAGGCGAAAAAAAGATTTTTTGGATACCTGAAAGAAGAACCTAGAAAAGTTTAACATCTGATTGACGCCGTATTATGTATTTCTATGCTATATTAGTAAGATAAAGAAAAGATCAAACTTTTTTATTCTTGATCAGATTTTAATAAACTTCTACCTATAAAGGTTAGGCAAAATTTTTCTTTTATGCTAATAAAATTTTAATTTGAATCATGTGGCAATAATTATGTGTGAAAATTTTGAGGGATTAGCATCAAATCTTCTAATTAACCAAACTCGTAAAACAATGCTATTTACCTCAGTTCATATGTCTCGAATTAAATTTATAATAATTACATAATGTTATAGACGTGGAAATTTATTTATACACTTGCTGCGAAATTCTTTAAATGGTTTTCAAATTCTTTTCCAATTACATGTTAGTGCAGACGATTGTGATGTATTCCCATTAAAGATTTTCATTTACATTCTGTTATCTTGAAGTCTTGATCATTTTAAAATCGCGATCTCGCAGAATTGGATGATCCAATTTATTAAAGGTAAAAATTCTCTGAGACCTTAAAAAAGTAAATTTGAAGAAGTGTGTCAATATTTTACGCAAGAATATTTTCTTATTTTTTTTTTAAAAAAAAAGGTATAGTATGAGCAATATAAAATGACACAATATCTTCGAAGAGTGCTTAGTCAATACATTGCTAAAAGGCCAAATGAATTCTTTTGTCAAAATTTCGTAGAATCGAATATGTTCAATAAATTGATTAAAGGTATCTTTTAAAGCCAAAAAATCCTTTTCACTCCAATCACTTAGATTAGTCGCATCCTTTTCTCTCAATTCCGAAGTTTGAGCTATTCCCCGTTAAATAAGATAATTCCATAATTCAACAACTTCAATTTTTAAATTTCTTTTTTAACTAAATCAAGTGGTAAACTTTTTGGGAAATCTGGTAAATTAAAAAGTGTTCATGGATCTTCAAATAAGTTAACAGGTCATGCGTTGATTCAATGATCATTAAACCAAAACATGCGACCATTCTTGTTAACTGGATTCAAAGGAAAGATTATCTTGCAAAAATTTCAGAGGATCATAATCATAATTTCAAACTTATTTATCGTAAAAGTAGAGATGGTATCAATACTATTCGTAGTAATGGTCAGGGAGCTTGTATTTTGATTATTAAAATTAAAGAGGATGACGCTATTATTGGTGGTTATAATCCTTGTGGTTGGAGTTTCCATCGTAGAAATAATTATGTTCGTCCTTATGTAACAATTATTACTGGCCTCTACTACCGAAAGTTTTTATGTTTTATATAGGTAATGGGACGGATTCGAAAAATTTTTAGCCGAGTTCAAGACAGCAATATATGAATCGTATTATGAAATTATGACATTAAATTTTGGCAATAGTGATTTGGTTATCAATGGGAAGACAAGCCTATTATGAAAGTAAAATTTAGGATGCAAACACATTTAACATAGAAGAAATGGAGATTTTTTGATTTATCAAGGATGAATAATGTTGATATTACATCTTTCCGATAAATTTATATACAAATATCTTGTCATTTTTGCCTTTTAAAATATTTATTGTGAGTGAAATAAAATGAGAATAAAAAAATTTTATGGTTCCTTTTGTAACACGAACGAATTGTGCCGCGCTATGAATTTATTGTTGTCCGTCATTAAATAAATACGTTTAAATTTACTTTTCACATTCAAATATACTGTAATATGTGGGCCAAGTTTCCATCACGAAATCCACAAATTTATTGGAATAGCTTTTGGTTAGTAAAACTATTTATATTGAAATTCAACAAATTAACATTCATTTATATAATATATACTTTTTTTATGTAATTTTATATATAAATTAATAATTTGAAATTTTGAAAACAAAAGTTAAAGTCCGCGTTAATTCTGCGTCATTAATATATCTAAATGAATTGAATAAATGGGTCGGTCAAATGATCAGTAGGTCAATGACTCGTTTTAACCTCTTTTATTGTTGTTATTAATATAAAATCTCCTTTATTAATTATGAATTTTGGCTTTCAAATGTAGCCCAATCTCAAAAATACAAAATATTTATATAAATAATTCACTAATAATTAAATAAAATGGTGGACAAAATACTGATATATAGATCAAATACTACTATATCGCATTGAGGAACCTATTTAATCGGAATGGTCAGTTCAGTTAAAATCTACCTGCAGGTTTCTTTTGATGACTCTTTAGCAAGCAGGGTAAATTCCTGCCGTAGATGTTAGTCACCATTTGAGATCTTCTTCTCAGTAACAAATTCTTCTTCGACACTCATTTCCGTATCGAATTTTGTGTTGTAAATATTATCTGATTGGTTTATATATAACCATTTGGGAGCATTCTGCGGTGAGGAATAATACGAAATATGTACTTTCTATACCCATTAGAATTGATAGATACATCGTTTAAGTGCGTTTTTAGCATCAATCATTTGTCGTTAGTAATTAAGGTCATCTTTCCCTGGTATCCTTATGTCAATGTTTTGAGCACTTGACCGAGATTTAGATTTGCCAACTTGAAGTTCTTAGATTATAAATTTCGAGTCAAAATGACAAAGGTCATTTTCTAAAAAAAATATCATATAAACTTGTAATTTACCATAGGAGAAGTTGTAAATTTTGACATGGAATTTAGGTACAAATTCTTCATGTGGTGTGAAATTATGATCAGAACTTTTTACCCCTCTGCATAAGGAATGAAAGAAAATCTCAAGTAAATATTAAATATAACGCAGTTTTTATCAAAGTTACTGAATATAAAATTCTTAAAAATTCAATTTCTATTTGAGAATCAATTACGCACCTTCACATATGATATTTCATTTAAGATGAACAATCTTACTGTATATGACATACTGTATAATGCAAGACTTATTTCTCTTATCAACTATCATAAGTCCGAAAATCTAATGAGCTTTTTACAAATATTCATAAGTCATAATTTGGAAAAATAATCAAGCTGTTTATAAGGATGAAAAAGCAACGCTTATTATGAAGATTTATCATAAATGAATATTCAAGTAACTTTTTCATTCACAATTAACCTTATTACTTATACAATAATTAAAATTATAACGAAGTTTGCTCTTTTGTGATATCTGGGTGGTTGATCATTGAATTACACTATAGTCCAACTGTTAAAAGTACTTTATATTTATTGAACTTTTTGAGGGAAAAATAACGAAATTGTAATTGTAGAAATTAAATTTCATGAGACTAATGACCAAATTTCGTAATCAATTTTTCTTTAAATCAAATGGTTTATTTATGAATATACTTATTAAAATAAAAAAGATATAGACAAATAAATAAGCATTAAATTTCTGTTTAGCATCACATATGATAATTCTTTGAAATTAATGTTTAAATACTTAATTAATATTCTTGTCTTCGATATTCTTGATATATATATCAAACCTACAAAAATTTTGTCTCTATAAAGAAATATTTCACATTCCTGAAAATTACTTTCTATATTAAAGTATTTTCGGAGATTTTATCATTGTATACTTCCTCGTTACTATTTGTCCCTCTCCAATTAAAACAATATATAAAAAAATAAAATCCGAATATACCAATCGAAAAAAAATTTTCTTCGTGTGGTAAAAAAACGATACAAAAAAAAAAAAAAGTTAAATAACCTAAAAATTAACCGAATAATAAAAAAATCAAAATAAACGAAATAAAAAAAAACCAATAAATTGATAAAATTTTAAATTTAGAAATAACTCCGCTCGATCAACATCTCTTCGTAGCTCATTTAATAAAATACAAAAAATGATTTAGAAATTTTGTAAAAGGATTATACGAATGAATCTTAATTTTGAAAAGGTTGGCATTAGCGCATTTATTTTCATAAGAGTTCAAGATAAACAACTCAACCTTCCATTATGTGCGGGAATGATATTATTTTGCCGACATCACCGTTGTACTCCCACTTTATTGAATTAGAAATTTTTATCTTGATACACTTGGTCTCCTATCCATGATTGAAAATTGAGCAGCATCATTATGACTGATGAAAAGAATGACTATGATGTGGAAATGAAGCAGTGTTCGATGATGAGTTTGTAGGTAGGGTGTTAGAATTATTACTTGTAACTGCCATAGTTGCATGGAAGTTGGAGGTTACTATTTAATGACCTTTTTCGACTTGTCAAATATAGCATATTTGATGAAGACGAAAGAGCGACCAAACTTATCAACCTATCACATATAAAAAGATTTCAAAATGTGATAATTGTCAAAAGCAGAAAATATTATGATAACAACTAATTTCCTATTTTTATTTTATCAATCGTTTCAAAAGTGTGTAATTTCTGGATTAACACTGAATACATACACAAATACGTTGTTGGAAACTAAATAATAGAGAAAATATGATCTGAATATGTTGATGTCAGATTGATTTGTTTTAATTATTTAACACTAACCTGTCTCTTTTAAACTGTGTTAGTTGCGTATTTTAGATTTTTATCTCCGCCCACTAGAGAAAGATATTACTTTCAACGATCGATATTATCCATCATCAAATTCTATTAGAATGCAACAAATTGATAAATAAAAAATTGAGAAATGTAATAACGGAAGATTGTTTTTTTTAAAAAGCATGCTAACCTTATCTTTTCTTTTAGAGAATCACAATTATAAAATCTGAACCCATTATCCAACCCAACTGCGAAACAACCAAAATCTTGATTAAACCCAGCATAAAGAAAGCTAGGAGCGTACAAAGCGGTAGATGAAGGTTTAGATAAGTTCATTTTTCTTTGAATTTTTTTGTAAGAAAAGATTCCAGCTAACGAAAAACTTTATTTTCATTTTCGAAGCTTTGTCTTAAAAAACGTGTACAAACTATTCTTTGGCCAGGTTGAGAACATTTGGAATTGAACGTCCTTTGTCAGCTCGACTGAATAAGATCAATTATTCATTATCATGATATAGGTACAGGAATAGAAGAATATTAATTTTTGGAATTGATTATCAATCCTTTTATATAGCATCTTGATCATCAGATACACATGTAATTCACTAGTTGATGTATATTCTGCAGTCCAAGGATTTGCTTTATAATATTGAATTTCTGAGTTATTCATTATCTGAGAGAGGTACCTTCAGTCGATTTCAGAGTTCACGACTATAAAGTTTTATGTTTAATTATCATGCCATTAAACGTTGATATTTATGATTCAAATTTCAAAAATAATATAAAGTTTATTGAATTGAAACCAAGAAATACTTAATAAATCATATTCAATGATTTTATTTCACGTGAATTACTCTTAAATTGGAAATAATATCCATATAAATGATTAAAAGTATTGCTGCTATGCCAAAATCTACCTGTGTTATATTGAGGTTTTCTTAACCTTGAAAGTCCACTTAATTCAACCATTCAATCAATAACGTCACGATTTTATTGTAATTCAAAATTTAATTTCTGTGCCATTGTTTTTTCTTTTTCAGATTAAAAATATCGGTTTGTTATGAATTGAAGTTACTTGATAGTCCGATTAGATTTTTGGATAAACGGAAAGTCCCATGGAGAAGCAAAATCAGGTAATTGATGGTTTGAGCCTTAATTACCATTTGCGTCATTTCATTAAGTTTAAATAGCAGTGGGAATTTCACTGTCGATTTTTACGAAATCACCAAAATCCTATCACGAAAGATTTCGTTAAGAATGGATTGTCATATCATTCTTAGATTTTCAGCATTCGAAAATAAATAATTTGTACCGCTGTTGACGTGCCGTTCGAACTAATTTCAAGTCCGTTTGATAATATTTCACGATAATATGAGTAGGTATGGTGAGTATTTTTGTGATTTAATGAATTTTGGTAAATTATACACTATATAAACATTTAATTCTTTAAAAAAATTTTTTTTATAATTTTTTTTTTTATACAGGCAGGTGGAATTTTCACCTTCTACGATACGATTTCCCTAGCCTAAATATTTACAAAGGTGTATTCAGCCTTTTTATTGATATTTTTCTGGAATCAACTTGTACGTCGATAAAAAGAAAATATAAATAATAAATAAATTTTTGCTATCCGTAATATTTTGGGGTCGAATGTGCTTACTAAATAAATTTTTAAAATCCGATCCGATCATAAACTCGCGGATTTGAGGATAAAAGCATTAAAATGAAATTTTTTTATAAAATTTACAAAATCTAGTTTCCTAAATCATCCCGAAAAACGTGATATCCCGGTCCAACTTTGATTATATCATTATAATTTCAAAATTTCAAAATATAAATCATTTAAGCATAGAGAAAAGAAATGCTTAACCTTACATGTAAAAGGTTAAATTTATTTTCTATTTATTTTTTGCGGTGACCAAAAAAATTCAATTTTTGATTTGTTTAGTTAAAAGATGAGGTTTATGCTATGCTTTTAAGATTTACACCCGAATGAAGCTTTATTAATATAACGAAAAAAGAATTTTTAAATTTAAATATTCTAATTGGGCTCTTTTACTTTATTGTAATCTTCTTTGGGGAATTTTTTTAAAAGTGCAAATTCGGTCGCTTCACGCCGCAGTGATAGAATAGAATATTCTAAATCTTATTGATTAGATTTTATTTAGCTAAATGATTTCGATTTTATTTTTTCCGGTGATTATGCGTATTGTTTTGTTTATTAATTATCTTTATTTTCCCTTTCTTTCTTCTTCAGATTAGATTACTTAGTTATATTCTTTGCTTAATTGTGTTTCGGGTTCGATCGCTAATGAATATTTTTATCCGAAATTTACTCTTTAGGTTCCTCTTAGCAAAAATCAGGTAATTTTTATTATTCAATCGCTTCGTGTAACAATCAAATTCTTTTTCTGGGATTTTTGTTTTCAATATAGTTTATATTCCTTATTATTTAGCTATTTCTCATTATATTAGATAATTTCATTTTTTTTTCACCAATCTAATAATAACGTGAGTGTCGTAGAAGGTAATTTTAATCAAAAATTGCAATAAGAATCTTTCCAAATATAGAATCTCATTGATCAAATAAAATATGTAAATCATTACTATTTCAATGTATACCATTGTAAATTTGCGAATCTCTTTAAATATTGCTATCCGTAAAGTTTTTAATCAACTCATCAAAATTCAAGATGTCCCAATCATTATCGCCACAATATTATGAGACTTTAGAATTCATCAAAGATAATTTTCATGATGGTAGAAGAACCTTAGAAGAAGCAAAGCATTACATGAATGACAGGCCCATACCAGTTTCTAATAATCATATCGTGAATGAGGTCAAATTGGATGAAAGATATAGAATCAAAAGTAAGGAATATTTGGAGGTTGGGTTGAAAATGTATGAGGACGTTGTGGATGAGAATTGGAAAGATTTTGATGATGGCGGGTTATGCGGAGAGTGGATTAAAGTTAAGGATGATAAGAACGAGGGTGATGGAAATGATCTCGGAAAAATTAAGGTCACAGGAAGGGTCGCACTTCACTTGTTTGGAGGGGGATATTTTTCGGGATCCAGAAAAATATCTCGCCGTGGTACTTTCTCGATCGCTAAGCATGCTGATTGTCAAGTTTTTTGTAAGTATTGCTCGGTCACTTTTTTTTTTTCTGTATCGACAATTCATTAATTTAAAAAAACTAAGATATAATAAATTCATCTTTTTTTTTGAATTTGATGATTAGCAATTGATTATCGTCTTACTCCAAAATATCAATTTCCTGCGCAACTTTAGCAGCGTACTTTTACCTTATTAACCCTGGCCCGGAAGCTGGATTCGAGCCAATTGATCCAAAACGTATTGTGTTATATGGAATTAGTTCTGGTGGTGGATTGGCTGTTGGTACCGCGCTGTTTCTTCGTGATTCTGGTTTACCATTGCCATCTGGAATTGTTTTATTTGTATAGATCAATATTATATAGCTTTGCAATGTTTTATTATAATTTATTCAATCCTAATTAACGATTTCTCTTCAATTTAATGATGAATTCGCAAAGTCACCATGGGTGGATTTAACAAGTAGCATGCCATCATACAGGGAACCTGGAATGGATAAATCTGATATGGTACCTGGCAAGTTATTCTTTCCTCCTCTTGGCCCCCCAGGCCCCATGTCAATTGAATATCTTGAACGCGTAAAAATACTATCAGAAAGGATTAAGCAAAAGAAGCCAAAAGTGGTTGGACACCCTTCTTTTACCAATCTTCCGAGGATTAAGTTCTACTGCGCAAATGAAGCCTTGGCCATTCCTTATGTCAGTCCAATGTGTGCTGAAAGCTTAGGAAATTTACCACCTATTTTTTGTGTAGGTTATTGTATCATGTGTACATTTTCTTCTAACCATATTAGTTCATGAAATTTCAAACTTAAAGTATTACTGCTAAACAATTAACATGATTATGATATAGCAAGCAGGTGGTGGAGAAAGGTTTCGGGATTCAATAGTTCTATTTTGTTTTAAAGCTTCCGATCCAAGCAAGTACCAAGTACCCGAATACGCTATGGAGAATTTTTCCAAATCTCCATTCAAGAAGCCCACAAAAGTGACACTCGAAGTCTATGACGACGCTTGCCACTGCTTTCACGTAATGTTTTTCATTATCTTTATCGGATAAGCTAGTACAATTTTTTCTGATTGGATTATATCATAATACACAAATTTAGATGATTCCAACTGAAAAGATTGTCAAGTTTGCGTTAAATAGAGCAAATGATTTCATCAAGCTTCATGCAGCTTCCGATGAAAGTATTCCTAACTCAGAAAATAACGCTGAAGATGGGAAAACCCTTAATGCAGTCGCAATTAGCCCTAACTGTGAAGTTAGGGAGTTGGATGCGAAATATATGGAATGCCTAAAGTTTGAGAATATTGGAGTTATACCAGACGTGAAAGAAACAGACTATGTAAATAACGTTGAGATTCATAGTAGCTGAGAAAATAGCATCATTTTAAAATTGTTATGAAATAGATTCAAATCTCTCTGTTATTTTAACTCAATATATCTTTTTTTTTTAAAAAAAAAGATACATATTAACATCACTTTAAATGTAATCAATTATTAACAGAACCAAGTTCATTAAATCGCACTTAATAACTCGTCATTTTAACTAACATGCATGATAGAATTTTTCTCTAACTTTTAGCAATATACATGCATCACAAAAAAAATAAAAAAGAATTTCAAAATTTATGGCATAACACCAAGATCTAATCCCATTCAAAAAATTTTGTCGAGAAAAAGTTTAAAAGGAATTTTTTTTTTTTTACAACATTAACGTTAATAAGTTTTTTTATATAGTGTTATATGGTTATCAGAGATTACTTCACATTTCGTAATGATTGGATATATTATATTAGAACGAACTTTTTAGTAAATTCCTTACATAAAGAAAAAAATAATTATAATATTAACGTGTTGATGCAATCGTCATTCGATTTTCAGGAGAAAAACCTATCATCCTCCAATAGATTTTGCCAAAAAATATTTAAAAGAGCCTTCATTTGAAAGACCATTGCTACGTTCATGGGTGGGAATTTTGACAAAGATGAGTCCTGAATTCGTGAATTTACTTAAATATCACGATGACTGCGCCTAAGGATGGTAATACTTCTCTTTTCTAATTAGAATTCAACATGATTATTATTGGTCTAGTCATTTCGGAAAGCATGCAAAATAACTCATGCTTTATAACATTTATAGATACATTAATAATAAGACATGAGAATCAACGTAAAATTAATTTTAAATTAGGGCAATAGTCAACTTGGGTCACCGCATGTCTCAATTTTCAATTTGCCCTAATTTTAAATTGGGAGCAAAATCGCATCGCCCAAAATTGAAATTTCAAATTTTTTTGCCCGAAATTGAAATTTGCATTTGATTAATTTGGGGCACAACATTGATTCTTTGTTTTAAAAATCATACTCGGCTAGTTTGTGTAATAACCTTGTACTATAATTTTATTTGGTAAGTCCTTATTAACCTAAACAGGTTATTTAACAAATCGTTCATCATTATTAATATGCAACATTTAAAACATCAAAAAATTTATTTTATAAATTAACTTTGTAAAGTTGTTAAATTTTTTTAATTTTTGTTGCGCTAGATCTTTACGTTTACAAAGGAAAGGTAATGATGTAAGAATATATTTAATAAAAAAGCACATAATTTAATTTGCATTATCAGAATATAAAAATAACATCTTCATATGGAATGTTATAATTGAAGAGTTGTCGTAACAAATTGCGAAATAGTAGAATTATCAACCTTTTTGAGATGTGTTGTTGCAACTAATTTTGTTAACTAAAAGGATATTCGCTGCTCTATTACAAACATCGTCAAAGGTAATACAAATTCGTTGCCCCTTTAAACTTGTTTTTAATTTATTTACTTCAGATTCAAATAACATCGGTAAATATTTTCTCGAAGTTGTTTTACACCTGCCATATCATCGCCTAAAATAACTTAATTATAGTATATGAAATATTTTGAAAAATAATAACTATATAAAAATCCTTAATGCTTACCATGCTTGAAGTATTTTTGAATAAAATTTTTTAATTTATCTGCTTTTTCAAGGGGTGTATTCTCGGCTATCAACACTTGAACAAGATCCTAATTTAATTGCTCCATTTCAGATAAAAAAAGAAAAAAATCTTTAAATTTTATTGTAAATTATTTGTAATATTTCTTTGCATTTTTATGTTTTTAATGAAATAAGATGATCTTTAAGTTTAAATAGTTTTCAAGCGCGACAAATTAATAAATTGCTAACTAAAAAAAAAATTCTTGTTCAAATTCTGGTGTTGAAAGTGGACCTTGTACTCTACCATTTGCAGAAACCATATTTTTTTTTTTTTTTTTTTTTTTAATAATAAAATTACATTTTCGCAATTGTTTGTTTATTTTATAATTTATATGATTATTGAAGGATATTTTTATGTAATTAAGAATTAAAACTTTATTTACTTAAAAAAGAAATATAAAAGAGTAACAACGCGAAATATAAAATATTATATCTTGTCCCAAGTTGTTGTTATAGATTTTGTAAGACATAAAGCATTAGCCAATCTTATTTTACAAATTCCGTCATAGGTATTCTGATTTTTATATTTATATAAATTGTTTTGACCAATGATCCGTTTGAACTTCAAATGACTTTTTGGATTTTTTGACAATCGGAGCGCGCTCTATAGTACCCCGGTTATTTTACATTCTACAAAAATTTCAGGGGTACAATACTAAGCGTTATATATTGTAAAATTTTTTCCATTGATTTTAAACTCCAATGTATAATACCCGGGATACTTTACATTCTAAGCCGTTCCAAAGGGGGGTAGGGTCATTATACTCAGGGTACTATAGAGCGCGCTTTACGGTAGCGTGATTTTTAGCATATCTTGCTTTCACTAAATGTCATCATTTGTTCAATCCTTATCACATGAGTCTGCCGTCATTGTTTACCATAAATAAAGATATTGTACAAAAGTTAGTCTTTGTCTTTATGATTCCCTTACCATTTGTTATACTGAAATAATATTATTTTTCAAAATTTTTACGCTTGGTCTTGGCTAGACAACTTACAAAAAAAATGGACGAGGAGATTGATAGCAGATTTCATTATTCCATTCAGGTATCTTAGCTTATACACTGCTCAATAGATAGAAAAAAAATATGTATTTAACATAATATTTTATGTAGAACCCAGAGAATCGTGGTTCCAACCGATCATCCTACGGGAATTATGGTAAAACCGCCTTTTTGTCGTCCGGTTCTAATGGTAACAATATGGGACGTGGTGTGTCTGTTATGGACGTACTACATTATGGAAATGATCAATTTCGAGGAAATGGAGCTTCAAGACCAAAAAAAATATCTTTCCAGAATGCTAATTATCTTAGCCGACAAAATTACAATGATGGTGACAAATGTGAACGATCGCCCAACAGCAGTAAATGTAATAATATCAGCGAAAAAAATGAAGATCGTAAAATTTATGTTCGGGGCGTCAGTTCGCAGTGGAGCAGGAAAGAAGTCGTACGAGAACAACGAATTAATAGCAATGTCAAGGGTGAAAACTATGCCGATACTACAATGGTGCCATTCGAATGTTGCCCAAACCAAGAGAGAATCCGATCGTTGCAACTATCCTTGGGGCAACTGCGCAGAATCGGTGTCTTGGCGGGCAATGCATGGACGAAAGAAAAACCGAAAACACCGTGTCGTCTTGTGGTCCCGAACGTTCAATCTGTCAAAACAACGATTCCAGAAACCATGTCACATGTGCAGAATGGTGAAAAGCAGTATGAATCTCGAGAAGATTGCAATAATCCGAAAAATCCATTCATGATAGTCGAAATGATCGCAAATCAATTAGATCGTAAACGCGTCGCAAAATCTCTTAACTGTAATTTCGAAGGTGGAGATCCTTCTACTTTTATATTTTATATGACGCCTGTTAAAGAGTATGGTTTTGATCATATCATTCTCATCGGAGAACAATACGCTGGAATTCTTTTTCTGGACTGCTACGGTCGTGTGTTCGAATGGGGCTCAATGTGTAATGTTTTACGGGTGATTGGGGATTTTTGGAGTGAGGTGAAAAAAGAATCTCGGACTACGCGTATATTTTGGGGTTTAGAATTCGATGGAACTATTGATGAATATGAGGACGTTAAGAATGGTTTGTCGAGATTTTGTTAATTCTTATTTTTATCTTAATTTCTACAATTAGTTTCTTCTCTCCTAGATTCACCAAATGAAATAACCTTTGACAAATCCATAAATAAGAAAATGAATTCGAAAAAAAAGAAGAGCTCGAAAAAGAAACAACATTAATCCGGTTTCTACGTTGTGTTTTGGATTAAGTGTGAAGCGTTCTTTTGAATTTCAATTTCGGTTTATGTTTGCATTAAGTTTTGCTCGCGTAAACAAATAATTAGTGACTATGAAATATACACTACCCTCGGAAAAGTATCCGGTCAACCAAAATAATATTTTATTTATTTGAGATTTTCGATATAAATAAA